CTCCCTACTGGAAATGTGCCCATAACCAAGGTACATGCCCTTGGCCAGAATCGAATCTGGGACCCTTGAGTCCGCAGGCTGATGCTCTATCCACTGAGCCAAACCGGTTAGGGCTGTCTGTGACTTTAAATAGGTTTGGACACTCACAGTCCTTATTACCCTGTGTTGAAATCATTTGTTTGCTTGTCTACCTTCTCAATTGGATCCATCTTCTGAGATGGATTTAATTCAGAGTGGACACTGAATTTTGTTCACCATAATATCTCCATGATCTAGTTGAGGGCTCAGCATTACAATTTGGGGTTCAATAATTATCTGATAATTGACTGAAAAAATTTATGCTCTAATATAGGTTCTAATTTGGAAAGAAGGCAAAGGAAAACAGTGGTGGCCATGTCATTGGGCATAAGCTTCTCGGTGTGACTTTACATCAGAAGTGGCCTATTTCCTCATCATGGGACTCCAAGCGCTCAGGAGTCCTTCCAAATTTCTGCTTAGGCCCATCCCTTTACCAGTTGTTTGTGTGACACAGGCTGTAGACATTCTTGCTTCGGGCTCCTTAATCACCATCATCAACTCTTTGGCATTGTTTAAGGATAAAATATGAGAAGCCAATTTCAGCAAGGGCTGAATCATCTGGGATGGATACAGGCATTTCCCCAAACCTGAAAAGGACGATTGCTTTCTGCCAGACAGCTCAGGGCATTTCAATCTACATGTTATTGCCTCCTGTTGGCCAAACACCTAAAGAGCATAAGGCAAGTCCCCAATCTGACAAGGCTACTGTACTTAATCCTACCCTTTGATGTGTATATCTCTACTTGCCTTAGGGCAATTTGTGCTAATAAAAAGCAGGGGTCCTGAGAAGAGGAGAACTTAGTTCCTTTAACTAAGTCTTCTCTGACTCCCTATAATGCCTTTCAACATTATGTTTTGTCTTTGGACTCTTATTTAATTTATGCACAGCTCCTTCTCCAGTTTTTTTTTTTTTAAATATATTTTATTGATTTTTTACAGAGAGGAAGGGAGAGAGATAGCAACGTTGATGAGAGAGAAACATTGACCAGCTGCCTCTTGCACATCCCCTACAGTGGATGTGCCCGCAACCAAGGTATATGCCTTTGACAGGAATCGAACCCAGGACCTTTTAGTCCGCAGACCGACGCTCTACCACTGAGCCAAACCGGTTTTGGCTCCTTCTCCAGTTTTCTGAGCCCTTCTAGATGCTGGACCAAGACCACCAGCATTAAATGGCACCCAACATCCAGCATTAAAGTCAGGAATAGTTTAAAACCAATGCCAAACCATTATCAAAAGCAAGAGTGTCTGCAGCCAGTCTACAAAGTTTGCCAATTTCTCCTTGTTTAACACATCATTTCATATTAAGCAGTATAGTTGCCCAATGATATGTGTCTTGCCCATTTGTATACAGTCATAAATAAGGACATACAATCAAATAATAACTTTTGGATATTGTTCTGTCTGCACATGTTCTGTCATTATTACTTTCAGAGTGACTCTCTGCCAAGGAACATGAAGCTGATTTAAGATAGGTTCTCAGCAGTACAATTAAAAGTCAATGAGACCAATATTATATAAGGCCTGGTTGTAGTAGACAGGTCAGGGCACTTCCCATAATAGTCACTATTTATTTATTTATTTATTTATTTATTTATTTATTTATTTATTTATTTATAGAAGTAGGAAGGAGGGGGAGAGGGAGAGAAAGTGTCATAAATATTATAGTTCAGAATTTATTATGTCATGGTTTTATAAATAGTATAAAGAATCTTAGTCCAGATTTTTCTCTTGCAGGCATTTTTAAAAAAGAAAATATTTACATTTAAAATATTAAAATTTTGTCAGAGAAAAATGAAATGCAGATAAAATGCCTTAGTATATTAATCTTTATAAAGTATATATTCATCATGATAGCTGTATATTTTCTATTTAATATAGTAATATAAAATCTAGATACAGACATAAAAATATTCTGATGGTACAGTTTTGCAAGATAAGTGATTTTATTAGGGCAAACAATAAGGCTCTTAGTGTTATGCATTAATATTTCATTTAAAATTATTTTGTGATTATCCTTTTAGAAACATATGGATTCCCTAACACTTTTGTTTTATAACCTCATTCTTAGAAATTCCAGTGGCTTGTTTTCTTGTATTTTCCTTAATTGTGGTGATCTTAAACAGATCTTCAGTTTTAAAGCTGCCAGTTGTTCTAATACAGATGCATAAATATATTTTCTCCATTTGGCTGTTTATTACAAAGACAGCTTGTTTGTGGGTACCATCAGGACATCTGCATTTTATTGGATTTAATTTTTAGTAATAAAGACCTCCCACATTATAGATTCTTTCCAGCCTAAATTAGCCTGTGTGGGAAGCAAAGGAACCGTCAGTCAGGGAGAAAAAGTGAATCCATATGGCGCTGATGCTTCTGTTTCCCTGGCTATAATGAAGAATGGTTTGAGCAAAGACAGTGCCCCAAGCAGATCCGTTTCTTTCTCAAGACCTTGGTAGAAGAGATTTGATGTCAGTCCCAAACCAGTAACTTTCAGCCAGCCCAGTTCATTCATGTGCCATCTCTGGCATCAAGCCATAGATGTCTATTGACATTTCAAGGATGTATTCTCCTTTGCCTCTCATCTTGCTCTGTTTCTTTTGCCTGAATGTCCAGACCCTGACTCTTGCCCCTGTCTTCCATTTTGGGGCTCACTTCTGCCCCTTGGATATGTTGAATTTTGTTTTCCCCTGTTCAATTCTAAATTTAAAAGCTCTGGCTCACATCTATGATAAAAAGAAATCTAAAAAACTTTGCATGTGTCAAAAAATAGTCAAAATACTCTATCTTCCATTTTTAAATAGTAACCAACCAAACCTGGTAATAGTACTTGAATAGCTGATGATCTTCTTCCCTTGTACAGGTTATATATAATTCCCCACAGTGCAGAGAACAGACAGGAACTGAAAGTTTTCTTTCAATTGACACCCAAATACCTGGAACAGTTAATTTATCTTGGTCAATACCACCCCTGGGGTGATGATGTGGAAATTGGGCATAGCATACTCTTTACTATCAGTTACTGCCCTCAGCATGAACAAGAAAAGCCTATTTTCTCAGCCTCTTGTCAACTCTGAATCTCAGCCATTGAAAAAAAAACTTTGCTTCCTAAACACTGCTTTTGTTCATGTAAGTTTTGGGATAAATTTAAATTTAATTCAACTATAATAGTTTTTTTATTAATTGCAGAAGGTGATGCAAATATTGATAAGACATTAAAAAATATTTAGTGCAGTGGGCAGAATCCACCACACCTGCAAAATAAAATAAAATAAAATAAAATAAAATAAAATAAAATAAAATTAAATTAAATTAAATTAAATTAAATTAAAAGAGATATGTTCAAGCCTCTCTGTTACCTATGAATGTGACCTTATTTGGAAACAGAGTCTTTGCACATGAAAATAAGTTAAGATGAGGTCATACTGTATTATGGTGGGCCCTCGTTCAATGACTTATGAGAAAAGGAAATGTGGACACAGACAGACAGGGAAATTAACGTAATGATGGAGACAGAGATTTGAGTGATATGCCTACACCAAGAAAGGCCAAAAATTTCTGGCAACCCCTAGAAGTGACAAAGAGGCAGGGAAAGCATGAGCCATGAGAGAAGGCATGGCCCTGTGGACATCTTGACTTTGGACTTCTAGCCCCGAGGAGACATGTCTGTTGTTTTAAGTCACTTAGTTTGTGGCAATCAGTTATGAGATTAATACATTAGTGAATCAGGTAGAAATATGATCAATAAATTGTAATAGAGGTTTAGAATTATGGAAGCAAACAGAAAGGAGACATAATTTCCTAAACATCCTGTGTCATGGACAGCAATTCTTAGAATACCAGTTTTTCTTTTGCAAAAACTTAGGAAGCTACCTGACTTTTTGACCTACTGTGTGATTTAAAATCAGCCACTTCACCTCTGACCGCGTTTCTCATCCGTGAGAGAGGGCTTTGGCCCAGAAGATGATCTCTTAAGTCTGTTCCCCTTTTCAACTTGTAACATATTCTGTTTTTTCTTTAATTATGTATATCTATTTTGGAAGTTATCAAGTTAAGGGGTTAAACAGTCACTTATGGGAGTTAGTGTCTTCTCTTCCTGCCCTTCTCACCCCGCCAAAGTGGAGAAGTGTGTGAAACCAGAGTATTCTTTTCTTTTCTTTTTAGTGTATTCTTATTCTCATTTGCGGTGGATAGAGTTGAAGGGCACAGCCTCTCAGCTTAGGTGCTGCTCCAGTCTCCTTCTCTTTGGCAAGCATGTTTGAATTAAGGAATAATTAAACACTGATGTCTGTCCATGGGCTAATCAACCTAGCAGTATAATAGAAGAGAGGAAATTAACATGAATGTGAAGCTGGGCCTAAGAGCAGACTCCCCGAGCAAACGTTTAAGCTTTGTTTTCTTATCGGTAAAATGTTGGTAACAGTGGCATTTATTGGGTAGCTGAGAGCATGAAAAGAAATAGAATGCTGTTTATATTTTGGTAAGTGCCCGGTATCTAGTAGTGTGCCCTTAAAAATGGGAGCTGTTATAAGATTCTCGCTTACAGAAAAGGCACTAAAAACTGCCAGGGTCCCCCTGCCCACGCCCAGGTTGGAGCCTAGGGTCCCCGGGAGCCAGGCACCCCCACGCCTCCTCCCGCCGCCCGCCGGGAGCACCGGGCGCCGGCAGCCCTGGGCGCCGGGAGGCCGGGGGCGGGGCGGGCGCCGGAAGCGCTCGCGCGCCGCTGTCAGCTGCGCCGGAAGTGCCCGCCGGGCTGGCGGTAACCTTGGGGTCCACGCCGGCGCAGTCGCCGCGGCGGTGGGCTTCGCGAGTCCGAGCCGCAGCCCGGCCCAGGCCCGTCTGCCGCCGGGAGCCGCCGGGGTCGCGGAGGAGGGGGAGGAGGGCCGTGGGAGCGGGAGCCGCGGGCGCAGGCTCGCCCGGCCGACATGTCTCTCGTGGCGGAAGCCTTCGTCTCGCAGATCGCAGGTAGCGCGCGTGGCCGGGGGCGCGGGGTGGGCGGGGGCGGGGGCGGGGGCGGCGCGGGCCAGTGGCGGGAGCAGCGGGAGGGTTAGGGCTGCAGGTTGCCCCCCGGGCTGAGATGCGGCATGAGATGCGGCACCCCGGCCTGAGGAAGGAGGCGGCGCGGGGTACGAGCCTGATACCGCGGATGCGAAAACGGAGGGGAGACGCTGGGTCAAGGTCACCGCGCCGCGGCGGGAGCGGGGCCGCCTCGGGGCGGCGCTTTCTCGGCTCCCCCGGGGGCGCGGGGCGGGGGCGGCGGCGGAGGTGGGCTGGCTTAGGGCGGGGCGTGGCCACCCGGGGCCTGGGAGCGGGAGCAGCCTCCTAGGAGGGACCTCCAGGGTAAGGTGATTGCCGCCCGTACGTCGTCCTGGTGACCTTTTGTCATTGAGGGGTCACCGAAGTTTTCGTTTTATCTCCAAGAGACACAATATAGCCATATGCCGGGTCTCTAGGATTCCCTGAAGCATCTTTAAACCCACATGCACTTTAAAAAATACTTATTAAATACTTTTTAAACATTCTCACCCGAGGATATATTTTTGATCTGATTTTAGAGAGAGAAAGGGAGGGAGGGAGAAAACAACAACAACAACAACATTGTTGCGCATCCATCAGGCTCCTCCCGCCCTTACCCTTGCCCTGACTGCAACCCAGGTACATGCCCTTGACCTGGAATCTAATCCTTCTGTGTGACCAGAGAGCAACACCGACTAGAGTTGAATAAAAATATATATTTAAATCCTCACCCGAGGATTTGTTCTCTGTTGCTGAATTTTAGAGAGAAAAAGAGAGACAGAGAAACAGAAACATCTGTGTGAGAGAGAAACGTGGATGGGTTACTTCCCGTATGCATCCCGCTGGGGATGGAACCTGCAGCTGTGCTTGTGTTTGGAGGGACTCCAGCCAACTGAGCCACCAGGCCAGGCTACGTGTACTTTTTTAGAAACACCTTTGACTTGATGGACTGACATAACACCTAGAAATTCTTCTTCAGGGGATTCAATCTGATAGAAATGTAAGGACCAGCGTTTAAAGAAATACACAGAAAAATAAAAGAAATATAAAATGATATTTGTAAGAGCAAAAAAACAGAAATGTCCTAATTATATATCAAATCATATGCTCACATAATTACAGATACTATAAATGAAGAGACACTTGTTGAGTATATTGGCTTGAGTTATGATGATCGTAAGTAAAAAACAAGTTATAGAATAATATATATTGCACCAACCCATTATTGTTAAATTAATAAATACTGTGTAAACGTGTATATGTAAGCAAAAAAACAAAAACAAAAAACCATAGAAAAATATTCAACTAATTTTAAGGAGTAATTTCAAGGGTAATCAGGGTAGGGCATTGGTAGAAGGTGGAGGAACTATATTTCTGAATTGTTTAAATTGTTCTAGTGAGAATATTTTACTTTTGTAATTTAAGTGATTCTAATTTTAAAGATCTAAAAGATTTTACTTTGGCAAGCAGTAAAAAAAAAAAAAAAGGGCAGATAAAATAATAATTTATATGAAACCCTGCGTTTAACTTGAAGTGACATCTAAGGGTGACTCAAATTCAACAATTCTGAATCTTCTATTTTTGGCAGTAATATGATTTTATTGGAAGAGCTCAACCTCAGGAGATTTGAGAGATATACATACATAGTCCTATTTTAACTTAATAAATCATTATGAATCTGTTTTTGTAGCCCAGACTTTCATTTTTAATGTATTTAACACTTTGCTTATTATTCTTCCTTTCAGTAGCTGTGAGCCACCATAATGTTTGATATTTCTTTTGGATACATTTAAAGACTTCTTGCCTATATGCTGTCTGTGATATCTGGGGAGCCTAATTCATAAGGACATCTTTTTGGAAGCCTCTGAACGCCCCAGTTTAAGTGAACCGCTCTTGTCTCTACTACCAGTGTCTCCCCCACTAAGTTCTCTCAGTTCTTACTCCTTCGTGACTCTGGCTTTTTCTCTCCATCTCCACTGCTTTTCTTGCTTGGAGTACTGTTGTAGTCTCTGAATCGGTTTCCCTGCTTCCAGTCTAGTCTCCTTTCAATATAGTCTCCACACTGCAAGCCTCAGTGGGGTTTTGTGTTGTTTTATTTTTATTTGCTAAAATGCAAATGTGATTCTCTTATTTTAATACCTTCATTAGTTACTCATTGTCAGTAGGTGGAGGAATCATGGCAGACTCTCCATAAGTTAGTCCAAGCCTGCTAGCCTCATCTCTTGTCACTCCTTTCCTTGAACATTCTCCTTCCTAAGCTTTGTTCACCTTTGGCACATGTCTTCTGCCTGAAATGTCCGCTTTGCTTGGATAACTCTTGTTTGTCTTTTAAGGCTTTTGGCACATTTTAACCTGTAAGTCTGCCTGACATTTTCCCCTCTCAAATGAGAAAGGTTTATTTCTTTTCTGAAAAATTAGGATACATGGCCATTGTAGAATGAAAATAACTCCTTCTCCCAAATAAATATAAAAAGAATGAAGTAAAGATTGCCTAAAATTGTAACTCCCAGATTAAGCCTTTAAAACCCCATCCTCATCATTAAACTTTGGTAAGCAAAGCTATTTCCTTTCTCTTTCCCAAATATTAAAAACACACACACATACACACACACAAAAAACCCCCATATAAAAGTAAAATATGCATACTTTTTTGTAATCTGCTCAGTCATATGTCATGTCTATAAATGGAGTTATACATCATTTAAAATGACCATATAGTATTTCATTGTAATAAAATCGTAATTTACTTATCTAGTCTTATTCTGATGGGTATGTAGGGTGTGTATTAGCTCAACAGAGAAGCAGAAGCAATAGGAGCTCTATATCTCTATCTTTGTGTCTACACACACACACACACACACACACACACACACACAGCGATGGCTCATGCTGTTGTGTGGGTTGTTCACCAACCAAATACTAAGTCCACGAGGTGGATAGGCAGGAGTGGGAGATTCAGGACGGAGAGAGCACATGTAGCCGCTGCTACTTGCAGTGTCTGATCTCTGGGAGGACTTAGAGCCTCTGTTAAAGGGTTTCCAACTCATTAAATAGGGTCCACCCAGGATAATCTCCCTTTTTATTAAAGTCAGATAATTAAGGGACTTTAATTATATCAGCAAAATCCCTTCACAGCCGTGAGTTTGAATAACTACTGTGTTTCCTCGAAAATAAGACATCCTCCAAAAATAAGACCTAGCGCATGGAAAGATAAGACATCCGCTGAAAATAAGACCGAGCGCAACTTTGGGAGAAAAAATTAATATAAGACACTGTCTTATTTTCAGGGCAACAGGGTAGGAGGTGTTTTACATGCTATAGAATGACTGTTGCCCCTTCTGTCTTCCTGAAGTCTGTGAGAGAAGATTCCTTGTAGCTCACCCTAATAAAAAATATAGTAGAAAGGGAATTCTGGCAAATGTAAGTTCAGTCTAGCTAAGTTGATGCACCCTAAAGCCATCACAGGTATATGTGATTTTTCTCTGTATAAGAAGTGTTTGCATGATATGTTTATATCTAATGAGTAGTTTCTTTGGGTAAGTTTCTTAAAATGAAAAAGGAATTTGAATTGTTCTTTTAATTCAGTAACATGGAAAGGAATGGTAAAGTATGAATTTTGAACTTGTGGTTTGGCCGCTAGATTGTTATATGGTAGATTTAGAACTTTAGAAAGATAAAAACAGCCCTGCATATTGAATGAATTTCAAAATCTTATATAACAGCTGTGTATTTTGTATTTTGACTTGCTTTTTTTTTTAATGACAAGGTATTCCAGTACATTACTTGAGTTTCTGTTTTTCTGTTTTTTTTTTTTTTACTTTTTATTTTTTATTTTCACTGTCAATTGAATATGAATATATCCAAGGGGAGGATTAAGTAGCTCATGTGAGTCCTGTGACCGCATTTGGAGCAGTCAGTGTTGCCAACATGATGGTGTACTATGATGGACAGGCCTGACTTACTTGCCCATTCCTGTGTCAAGAGTGGCTCCTGATTTTAGGGCTCCACAATGCCATCAGGTACATACAAAAGGAGAGGTGATGAGCACAAGCAGGAGACTTCTGTGTAGTGTTGATAACTTCCTTCATCTTGTTGCACTGTGAATTTTGGAGTAAGAATCAGATCTGGGCTCTTATTCAGCTATTTATTAAATGTGTGACCTTGGGCAAATTCTTACCTTTTTAAGCCTCAAATTTCTTATTTGTAAAATAGTGTATATAAATTATATGTTATTTTAAAACGATGGGAAGAGATATAAAATGCTTAGTGTTGTGTTTGGCATATTTTAAGCAACCAATAATTGTTCATAATAGTCATTTTAGCTGTTTACTTATCAGTTTTTCTCTTCTATTGGGTTTTGCTGCTAATTTCCTGTGTGAAGATATGTTTTGGTCAAACTTTTAAAAGTTATTTGTAAATAGCCAAAACCGGTTTGGCTCAGTGGTAGAGCATCGGTCTGCGGACTGAAAGGTCCCAGGTTCGATTCCGGTTAAGGGCATGTACATTGGTTGCGGGCACATCCCCCGTAGGGGTTGTGCAAGAGGCAGCTGGTCGATGTTTCTCTATCATCGATGTTTCTAACTCTCTCTCTCCCTCTCCCTTCCTCTCTGTAAAAAATCAATAAAATATATTAAAAAATAGTTATTTCTAAATAGAATACAAAATTTATTTCAATAATATAAACATCTACAGTTATTACAATTATTAAAGTTACTCCTATAGCAAATGATTCTAAGATACTTGTTTAACGATTATACATTTGATAGACTCCAGCCATATTTATCTATAATACTAAAATATTATTCTAATTAGACCAGATTCCTTTCGGACATCCCTCCAGACGAAGCCAGGGTCCCCAGTACCTGCTGGAGGGAAGCCCAGGTGCTGGGTGCCAGAGGGAAGCCGGTGCCGGCAGCGGGGGGAAGGAAGGCCTCCTCTTGCATGAATTT